GCTGCGTAGTGTCCCCAGCATCGGTAACGCTCCTAAAATGTTTTTACCGGCGAACAAGGTTGCTGAGAGCTGCTACAGCCTGTAGCTAGCGGCATTCCGCCCCCACCCCGCCGCCGTCCAAAGCCAATATTGGCGTTCGCCGACGCGGGTCAGCACAGCTGTAACGTGACGGCGTCTCGGCGGCTGGGCGGCCTGATTTTGTCACGTTCGTTCGTTCTGGGCAACACCAGTGACCACGGAGCGCGCAGCTCAGGCCGGCTTCAGTCTGGCGTCACTGGGATCCGTACGTTTCCATAGGGGTCAGGGCTGGCAGGCTGTCCGGGGCTCTGGTGAGATCTGAGCTGTGAATACGGAATCATAAATAGATGTTGCTATGGGTGAATGCGGTTGCACTGTCGGAGCTGTGTTCTGATGCAACTGGCGTAGCATGACTTTCTGAAGTCCAACTTCCAGGCCCACTTTTGTCGAAGAGAAGAGGTATTTTGGGTGCGTAACCAAGCTATAAACAAAGCCCAGCGGGGCCCGCCATGTGGTCTCTAACGACGGCTCTCACGCTCGTCAGCTGGCACGACGGCTACAAACCGGAAGCGGCCCGGCCGTCGCCGCCGCTCGTGGCTGCTCTCTGATCATGGACCGTCTGTTGTCGACATTTCACGGCTCAGCACGTGCACCAATAGCATGAGGACGGATCACTCGCCAGCCGGCACCTTTGCGGGAGGGCATGCCGCCCCGCCGGTACCGCCGCCGCGGCAGTGACGTCAATGGTTCGTGACGCGCTGCGTCTGTCCGGCTCTGCCAGCGCTACGGGTTGTAGTCATGGCGTCACGTTGTCGGCTGCAGCCGAGTGGTGACCCCTGCCACGGTCAGGTCTTAACGGCCGGGAGGGCTGCAGAGCGGCGCCCTCGCTGCCGGGGTCAAGTCGGGCTGCCCATGACGAAGCGGCGGCACAGGGCGTGGGCATTAGCACGTTCCAGAGATTAGGTAGAAAGCCGCACAATCTAGGGGGCGAATGTATTATTTGACGAAAGCCGTTTTCGTTTATTGCAAGCACTCGAAAAACGATCATCTCGTGGCCAAAACCATGTGTATGTTGGTATGGTGTCGGCGTCTGCGTCACGACCAATTTTCGCCCACAAACAAAATGATGTATTACGGGGAGACCTCCTTCCTTTTTTTCCCTCCCTCCCCAATCTCCCCCTCTCTTCCCTCTCTCTATCTCTCTCTCTCTCTCTCTCTCTTCTCTCTCTCTCTCTCTCTCTCTCTCTCTCTCTCTCTCTCTCTCTCTCTCTCTCTCTCTCTCTCTCTTTCTCTCTCTCTCTCTCTCTCTCTCTCTCTCTCTCTCTCTCTCTCTCTCTCTCTCTCTCTCTATCTCTCTCTCTCTCTCTCTCTCTCTCTCTCTCTCTCTCTCTCTCTCTCCTCTTCTCTCTCTCTCTCTCTCTCTCTCTCTCTCTCTCTCTCTCTCTACGCCAACTTGTCCAGCACCGTCTCTGTCCGTCCTATTCCGACAAATATCTTGTGAGCCAAAGCTGACAGTTCTTTCAGTGAGATAAGCTGCACCAGCCAAAAGAAGCCAACTAAACGGTCAATGCAAATAAGCCATCCTAGTCCGATATAAAATACGTAGGGCTGAATTCATGCTTGCTACAATGTTTCGCCCGCCTAAATTTGTTCTCGCTTTGTATTGTGGATTTGTTTCGCTGGTTTTGCTGCTGAAAGCATCTACCTCATGCAATTTTCAGTCTTCCTTGGTGTGATAAGCAAGCTGAATTTTATGCTTACTCATCGGTTCAGAGCTCTTATGTTGAGTTAACGACCTTCAGTTTACCAGGATGTCCTGGTTGAACGACGTTATGGAGTCAACGCTGGTTGTAAATTGACAGGTACTGAACTTAAGTTAATCTGCTTAGTAGCCCGTAGCATTAAGTATGCGGTTTAAGTGATAATGCAACACATCCGGCTTCTATGAAGCCACGGATAATCACACTTTTGACACCTCTTAAGTAAATGACGCCGTAACAGGCCGCGGAGAGCATCGAGCTGCATGGGCCGCCACCTATCCGCCTGAAAACGCACTGATCGATGACCGGCCGTCCACCAGGTGGTGGTGGACTACGTGAGCAAGCAGCGCGTCTTCGTTACCTCGTTCTGGGCTCGGCCGTGGAAGCTGACGGACAAGACACTGCGGCCCTGCGAGCCAAGCGCTTTATCCGGCGACTACGCCGGCATGGCCACTCCTTCCTCGACAGCTACTTCTACCTGGCCAAGTATGACAGGTGAGTGTGGCGCAGACCCCGGCGCAGCGCGAGGAGCCAGGGGAGACCTCGGCACATCACAAGAAGTCAGGGGAGACCTCGGCGGAATGCGAGGAGTCAGCAGGGCGTATAGGGCTGACCAGTGAGACAAATGAGGGATGCTTGGTTGCCCTATTATAATTTTGAACTCATAATGGACCAGCACCTGCAAGTTGGTGGGCCGGGGGACACTGCCCGCTGATAAATGCGTCACTCTACAAGCGCGTTATTTAACAAAACAGAATAAACGCATCATATCACCACCAAGGTTGTGTTGTCAACCAATGCTTTTTTCAAACAAAACCGACCTTTCTAAACTTCCAGCACGGAGTCTCGGAAGCGTTCTTTCTACGAGATCTGGCTGTACAGCACGCCGTTTAAGAGCAAGAAGCGGTTCCAACCAACGGGCAAGCCGCAGGAGCCGCGCCCTACCAACCGCACGCTGGACACCATCCGCCGACTCTGCAGAGGTATCACTGACACCGGTGCCGCCCAATGGCTGGTGGCTCTCGCTGAACAGCCTGAACTGGAGTTTGAACCATTGACTTGTCTTTTCCTATTGTCCCTGTTTCCTTTTTCGCTTTCTTGCTTTATTTCAAATCCCTGCTTGCCTCCGAATTTATAGCAATAGACTTAAAAATCGGCTTAAAGCTCGAGCCAACGTGGTGCGTGGAAGCGGCCTGCTGCTTGAAACGTAATCCTGCGCGTAATTGACAATTTTACGTGACGTACTCTAGGCATCGATTCATCCTTTTCGATAGACCCCAATTGGTGAGCTCTGCACTTTGGCTGCGGTGTCGGAGGTAAACGGCAGTTCCGTCGCCGGCAGGTCTGGAGTGTCCTCAATTTGAGGTGCTGTCGGAGCACAGGGGCGGGATTCAGAAGCGGCACTACTACAACGCTGTGTTCGCCACATCTCGGATGGACGGCTGCGACTCCAGCATTCAGGCCATGTGGCGGGGACTGATGCCGCTTCACCTTTACAGGCAAGGTCAGTCACGTGCCGGCCGATGTCGGCAGAACTTTTCCGTTTTGTAAGAAAGCATGGTTTGAACAACCTGACTGTATTATGTGCTGGTGCTATAGAGAATGTCCCATCTGATGTAAATGACGTCAGGTAATGGTTTTTGGTACTGCAGAGGGTGTCCATTTTGCCATTTAAGGTACAGTGGATGATCAGTGGATTATTTCTTTTGAACAGCTTGTTTGTTGAATGTCTTTCCCTCAGTGAGGGCAGTGTACAAGCCACTGTTTGGCACCATCATCATTTTGAATCACATCGTACCACCTGAAAGCATGTGATAGCGCTGCGACTTTCAGTCGTGACCATGAAGAAGTTCGACACGCCCCGTCTAGTACCGACATTTAACCGTTAAACCCTTGACACTTGATTTCCTATGACACTTGATTTCCTAATCCTACACTTGATTTAAGTTATCCAACACCGGTGTGCAGGAATTAACTCACACCTGGAGGTGATAGAAGCCACTCGACCCATCGGTGTGCTGCGCGTGCACGAGGCCGTGCCGGCCCGCAACACCAGCTGCCGTATGACGTCACTCATGTACCTGCCGAGACGGCTACATCAGAACCCGCCCAACACTGGTCCGTCGGCGGTGAGTGTGACGTCAGTGGTGGTAACTAACTCTCCGAGCGGTGACACGAGAACCCGCCCAACACTGGTCCGTCGGCTGGTGGCTGTGACGTCAGTGATGGTAACTAGCTCTTTGAGTGGCGACACCAAACGCACCCAACGTTGGCTACGTGGTGCTGGTGTGACATCACAGGTACCTGTTCTTACGTATTGGATAATGCTGCGTGAGAGATGTAGACGTCTAAACGCATCAAAAACCGATGCAAATTATGTCTTGCTAAAAATAGAACAGAATAAAACGTGCATTGGCGATACAGATGTTGACTGACGTTTTTGTTGTTTTGGCGAGGTCATGATCGCAGCTGGGTTCAGCGGAAATGTAACAGAGTAGGTCTGGATACGCTACATGAAATGTGATCGAATTGACAGGGACGTTTATTTTGGTTGAAATGTGACCGTTATCCCATGTACACACTCGGAGCTTATTTTTTGGGAGCTTTGATCGGTCTCCGTTCCTGACAGTTCCGCAATATTCCCACCCCCTGCAGCTCTAATAAATCTTTTGAATCTCATTCGTGCAGCAGAATCGATATCAACATTTTTACATATGTTGCTTTATTTCAATTCGCCACTCTTGTACGTAAGTTGCAAAAATTACTCATGTATGTATTCACATTGCAACACATAGAGGCCGCTTCATGCCACTCCTTATCTGTTGTTTCGATCTGTTCTCTGTTACTGTCTTCTGCCGATATCCGCTTTCAACTTCAGCCCCTATTTCCCGTTGTTTCCCACTGATATCTCACCCCTTTCGTCCACGTTCCACCACTGTCCACCGCCACCCTGTGTTGCCCAGTGCCCTTTGTTTTAAACTCCTCACTGCCGACCGCTGCTCCATGCTCTTCACTACGGCCCATTGTGACTATGCGATACTGTCATACATGCCGCCCAACTAAGGTGCCTGCCTGTCCCAGCCGCAGGCCGTCCTCATTCCCCGCCCGTCTGACGTACCCACACGTCCCTAGCCGCCGCCCGTCCTCATTCCCCGCCCGTTTGACGTACCCACACGTCTCCAACCACCGGCCATCTGACGTACCCACGCGTCCCCAGCCGTCGCCCGTCTGACGTGCTCGCCCGTCTCCAGCCGCCGGCCATCTGACGTGTTTGCCCGTGCCCAACCGTCGCCCGTCTGACGTGTTCGCCAGTCCCCAGCCGTCGCCCATCTGACGTGCTCGCCCGTCCCCAGCCGCCGACCATCTCACGTGCTCGCCCGTGCCCAACCGTCGCCCGTCTGACGTGCTCGCCCGTCCCCAGCCGCCGACCATCTCACGTGCTCGCCCGTCCCCAGACGTCGCTCATCCCCAGCCGCCGCCTGTCCCCTGCCGTTGTCCGTCTGACGTGCCGCTCGTCTTCAGCCGCCGCTCATCCCCAGCTGCCGTCCGTCCTCAGCCCCGCTCGTCTAACGTGCCCACCCGTCCCAGCTGCCGCCTCTCTGATGTGCCGCCCGCCGTCCCCAGCCGCCGACCAGCCTGGCGTACGTGCACGATCTGCATGTGTACGTACAGACGGTGGGTGGATTCGTGCTCGAGCCAGGCCGCGTGGCGGATGAAGTGACGGCGTTCCGCGCCGAACTAGACGCGCTCCGGCTCTGCTACAGGCCCGACCAGTACTTCGTGGCCGTGTACGACTTCATCCAGCGCTATCACGGCCGCCTCAACGAGGTCTGGCTGGTGGCGCGCCGCTGCAGGGGCTGAGTGACGAGGCTGTGGAGCGCTGACGTTCGCACGTGGCGGCGCCACCGTTGTGGCGCCACTGTCCACTGTGGGAAAATTGATGGCGCCATGGTCGGTGGGAGTTACCGAACGCTACGGTGGCGGTGGTATCGTGACATTTGATGAGGTGGCGCTGCAGTCGCAGCGGGCGTATAGATGACGCTGCCATCTTGCGTGCGGCCGGGAGCGGTGCTGCGAGATGATCTTGGTGATGTTTACCGCGTCTTATGCTGAGATGGAACTCGGCGCCGTGATGGGGAGTTTGTCTCGTGAGGTTTGGATAAAGATACAGATGTCAGCTGACGATGCTGATTGAAAGGTGCATTAAAAGAGTCCCAGTCTGAGTGATGGTCGGCGACAGCAAGCCGACAGCATAGAGTACAGGTTGCAAACAAGTGAAACAGGTGGCAGGTGTGGGGAGGATAACGGAGACTGATATAACATCGGAGCTGTGGTCTGGCGTGATCTTAAATGATGTGCCACATGATTTGCAACATAAGATCATATGGAACAACTTGACTAATACGTTGTGAAGCCCGTGACCAGGGGCGTTGCCGGTTCCAGCAAGAAGGGCTATCGACACACTGTAATGTTGCGGTGCGCCCCCACCTTACACTTGGACGGTGGTCTGATTATTGGAGTAGACTGACCTTTCTAATCAGCTGTCTTGTCCGCTCACAGCAGCAGTCTGTCTCTCTCCCAAAAAACATCGCCTTGCCCTCTGGCTTCAAGTTCTGGCGACGCCCCTGGTTGTGGCTTAATGAGGCGTCTGTGTGCACTGGCGGAAGAGCTTCTTTTCAATGTTGAAGGTTAAGCTACCGCAGAATAATTTATGCAGTGATCTGTGATTAGAGCTACACATGGTGTCATTATCTATATTTTCAAGTGGAACGACGTATGAGGCATATGGCTCTGCACACGTGAGGTTTTATAATGCGCACTTGACATGAGGTTAGGATGAATAGGAGAAATGATTAATGGCATATGGCTGCTCGAAGCTCACGTGCGTTATGGACGTAAATAAAGATATGGTTCGAATTTTTGTCACTCGGGAATTGCGCGAATTCCGACTTGCGAAAAGTTGTATAATTGTTTTTGCAATATGGCATATAATATGCATACTCAACGATGATATTGGCAAAATCTAGAACATTTCCCTGAATAATGTTACGCCATTCAAAACGCCTAGACTGCAGTAACCTTTGCCTTGGGCGCCCTGAAGACAAGCGCTGGCACATGCCATTCATTCTGCGACGTAATTCAATTTCCCATGTGCTGTATGAATGCCTCCTTGATAATGCATTCGATGAGGTCTTCAACCCCATGACTTTTCTGATGGTGTAATCACTGAGATTGTCCCAGAAAACCGTGAAAACCATTAGAACAGAATATCTGCCATGCAACGCCACAAATCATCCAACGACATGGTGGTGCGTGGAGAGGTCGCGCATTGGCTTCAGCGCGGACTGTCATGAACGAAGTCATAAATAAATGGCCCAGGATGGTAGGATGCTTAAAATTGAGATAAGATCCAACAAATCTAAAACGTTGGACGCAAAAATTTAGAGTTGCACCGATCAAGAGGACAGGAGCCAGTGCCACCGGGTGAACAAGGTGGGCTGCCACCCACCTAGTCTGGCGATAGACTGGGTGAACACAGTCTTTGCCCACGCTGTCATGTACATGGTCGGCAGCAATACGTGCGGTTGTACATGGTCGTGGTTATAAATGTTCGGCGGTAGAGACGAGGCAAGGAAGGTCCGGTCATGATCAGGAATGCAACGACGCTATGATCTAGAAGAGCTCCAGTAATAAAAGAATGGGTTTATTCAGGGATAGCGGTGCTGCACGAGCTCCATATCTGGAGTGAAAGGAGGCCGTAAGAGGCCGTGAGGATCTGAAGTGTTTGACGCTGAAGGTCATTGTGATATTCCAGAGGAAGGGCTCACTCAGTAGGTACATAGTATGTACGGTAGTGAGGTGCCTCTTTCTTTTCTAAGCTGCAACGCATTACACGGTATTGTGCTGCACTGTCCAGCTTTGGACATCTGCACGGTTGGTGGCTATCACCGTCCAGCATCAAATAGTCAAGAACGTATAACACTGGCAATGGATCGAGGAAACCACGTGCTCGAATAACACATAGTTCACAAACGTTCCAGTTGATTGTATGAGATACGAATGTTCTCGTAGGCCAATCCCAACACTGTACTGGTGGCTGGAGGAGAAAGAGGGAGGAGGAGGGGGGGGGGGGGGGGGGCTCGGGCGCGGCAGTGCATCACACATTGCAGGCGCTCACGTAGCATCGGCGCCTGCCCGTGTCTATTGGAGACAACGGCGCGTGCAGATGGTTATCGCGTCTTGCACTCCGCTCATGACAAAACGAGTCGAAAAGAAACCTGCTGGTGGGAATGTCAGGTTAGCAATGACGTGTAAGGTCTTATATGAAGGACGCGGCACATATTATCTGTGCATCTCATCCGATCACGTCCGGCCAAGCCTCCGTAGCAGATACGGGCCGTGATCGAGGCTGCAACCGACCGCAAATAACCTGACATGGAAAGCTGTGCATCTTTTAAAGTGCATCTAGGTGTTTCTTTGGGCCACTTCCGAACACCGCGCAACGTTGCCAGAATTGCCACAGAAAAACGATAGTGATGAGGATTTTGTAGACGGCTGCAGAGGTGTGATCTCTGAGATGCCATGGACCGGTCCACGCTCCATAGCAACTCCGTTCCACGCGCAAAGGATGGCTGTTCCAGGTGAGAACATGGCGAAATGAGACACGTAGGCTTCTTATTTCCGCGCGAGGAGGAAGAGCCAAGGTGGAATATGATGCAATAATGTCCGGAATGTTTCGCCTACTCAGGCGAGCTCCGAAGGCTATAGCTTGGGTTTTATTGGCGCTGATTTCTAGAACGTTGGCGCGAAAGCACGGACGAAGAGACGCTCAAGCTGCCTCGATCCTCCAAACGATGTCCCGCCGGCAGTACACATTTCACTGACAGCGAGATGAGTGTCATCAGTGTATCATGATCAGATTATTCGTAAATAGCAAAAGAGCTTGTAAGCCTGAACACCCTCATGTCGTTCTACAAAAGCCTTGATGGGGGCTTCTTGCCGGCGCTTTCAGGAAAGCTGACGCGTCGGGCGTTCCCGCATCAATACAAATGCAGCGTACAACCATATGCATATAAAAATGCAGCATATGCCCAAATCATATGACTACAGTAACATCGAAGTACTTGACTTTTGGATGGATAACTGCTGATTCATCTATGCGAAAGCATGCCTAAAAAAGCAGAGCTTTCACTGAGTACAAGTCTCATTTGTAATTTATTGCCCATTGTAAGAGTGCGCGATGCAAGCCCACGGCTATCTCGCGCCACTTTGGCAGCGCATCAATGTAAATCTTGGGCCAAGCTGGTCTTACCCACCAGCATGGGCCACCTAAGTCCCGCCCTTGGCATACACCCCGCGTTAAGCATGCACAAGGCGTGCACGTGACCTTTACACGGTGCAATGCCTCAACCAGACTACGCCCCTTGTACCAGCCACTCAAGCACTACTTAGAATTCGCCCCCGCGAACCACCGGCACGAAAGAAAAGAGCACAGAGGAGTGGGGCCTAAAAAAGACATGAGCTGGCGTGCGCGCTTTCAGTATCTGCTGATCTTCCTGGGCTGAAGAGTCTTTCCGGGCACGGTGCTGATGCAATGATGGCTTAATCCACTGCTTGGAATGGATGTGTCGCGAATTTGAAGACATCCAAGAAGGTGTGATGTCTGCCTCCATGCAGTAGAATTAGTGTGTTTGGGGGAAGGCCCACAAATCTGGTGACTGCTCATCTCCAGGAGGCAGCTTTTCTGACAATTTCGCATGCAGCCAAATCCAACATCTCAGAAACCGTAATTTACGTTTACGTTATTGTACGCTTAGAGTAAACAAACAAATACCGTCCGCATCGTCAATAATGATTGCGAACTTTCAACTCTGCCCTCACGTTATAATGTTCACGCCATTCCCAAAACATACCGTTAACGGTGCTTGAACTGTAACTGTAATCAGATTCGAGGAATTGTATGGAAGCATTTTCGTCGAGCCTTTAGCAAAGACGAGCATCTAGAGCCGGTCTTGGGACTCATATCCCCGTCCCCATCGCACGATACAGGCACGCATGCGGCTCGGGCGCCCCGGCCGGCGATCAAAGGGATCCACCGTTCCAGGAAGTGTTCATGACGTGAGCTCTTCTGCGGGGCCGCGTGATCCCTGACCCTCCACCCAGTCCACCACATCACCGCCCACCCCTTGCTCCGATTACAATTCAAATTTGTTAAACAGGATGCCGGTGTTTCACGCAGGGCACTTTGCCATCGAATGCTATAGACTTCCTGGCCTTCGAGATTCATGAAGTCTTCGATCAGCGTCTACCCCCCCCCCCCCCCCCCCTGAAAAATAAAGGTCTAAGCAACAGATCCTATCTCAAACAGTTTCGCTGTCTATAAAATAACACCCGCATGTGGTAGTCTGGCGCGAGTAGGGCTACCCCAGAATGTGGTCCATCCCTCTGCGTCAACAGCTGCAAGGGTCTCATACTGTTCCGCGAGCTGGCCTGTCGCTGGCCGGGTGTCGACTGGAACGCCAGAACTGGAGGGGATACGAGAGGGTCGTCCCAGCTCCAGTCCCACCGGCTGGCCGGTATCTGGGCCATGGTGGAAATGGAAATGCGCTTGTGAATGATCATTATCGTATTCGATTTATACATGAACATTAGTTGATGTAAGCGCAAAAACTCATGAATTAGTCACGCCAACGATGGGATGACGGTTCCTGTCATGACGGTACCAGTCGGCCGTTCGTTCGCGGCGCGTGCTGTCCCATATGCATAGTGCGCACCAGCCGCACCAGATCAGCTCAAACACAGCCCGGGTTTAGAGAGCACCGGCCGAACCACATCAGCTCAAATGCAGGCTCTCCTCTGTTACTGCCGCTTTCTGCACATTTGAGTGCTCATTTCTACCCGTCTTTCTCGCTTGAACCAAAGGTGATGGAAGTTACAGCGCTAGCCCCTTGCATCCTCTCTTCCCAAAAACGAGTTGCGAAGCTACACGTTTGAGCCAGCTGTGCTCCAAGACGGCTCCCGCGGCTCTCGGACTATTCAGCAACTTTACTTTAAGAAGCACTTCTGTGCATCATAGCTATCGACCACTACCACACGAATTCTTTCAAGCGTTCGTGACGATGCTACTCGCATTTCAGTAAGTCTCCATTGTAAAACTACTCCCACGTATCAATTTCCGCACGGCACGATCACTCGAACACCCACTTCGCGCATTATGTCCCTTTCGTCTCGAGTCATCCTTGCACCGCCGCGCGGGCTCGCTCGACGCCGGGCCACATTCCAATGTGTGTGGCTGCGACGTGGGGATCCGTCTCGCCTGGGCCTCACGCGCCTGACCTCGCTGAGAGGGCAGCCTGGCAGCCGCCGGTGGCGTGCCGTGCTGAGAGGTGAGGGGTGGAGGCTGTGGCGCCGCCCGATCCTCAGGCCGGGTGGGAGCGGTGACGCCCTCGTGCACTGTCCCTCCCTCCCCACACCCCCTTCACCTCTGACGGCTGACTGCGTAAGTCGACCGACCGGCGCTGGCCATAGGTGTAACACCGTCTGGCGGGCACTGGCATGTGTAGCACCGCATGGCAGGCACTGGCATGTGTAACACCGTCTGGCGGAGTACTGACATGTGTAACACCGTCTGGCGGGCACTGGCATGTGTAACACCGTCGGGCGGAGCACTGGCATGTGTAACACCGTCTGGCGGAGTACTGACATGTGTAACACCGCATGGCGGGCACTGGCATGTGTAACACCGTCTGGCGGAGTACTGACATGTGTAACACCGTCTGGCGGGCACTGGCATGTGTAACACCGTCGGACGGAGCGCTGGCATGTGTAACACCGTCTGGCGGAGTACTGACATGTGTAACACCGTCTGGCGGAGTACTGGCATGTGTAACACCGTCTGGCGGAGTACTGACATGTGTAACACCG